AAAAAAATTATCATTAAATTACTTAAATAATTAATATTTTTTTATAAATTAAAATTCATTAAATATAAGGAATACACAAACCCTTATTATATCCTCAAAACAAGCCCATTATTAGACACCGGAAGGAGGGAGATTTAGTTGATTCATTGTCGTTCTGGAAGAAAGAGGGTGTTGGTTTCCTATTTTGTGCATATGTAGAACAATTATTAAAGTCTTTGAGCATGACAATAGAAAATTTTCATGAATTAGATGAGAAGTGAGACATATTTTGTCCTTACTTCGATTCCGGTGCCTTGTGAGTTTTGTTTTTTTATTAAAACAAATAATCGTTCATTGATGGTGCAAAACAATACAAATCAAACTTTTAATGTTTTTATGAAGGTGTAGAATAATGTCATTTCCCCCCTGTTCCCCATGTCCGGTGACTCCATCCTCCTGCCGACCTGCTTCATCACAGATTTTCATTGAAACATTGGGTTAAGTAGGGTGATTAATGAGTAGAGTACTATGTAAATAATGTGAATTATTTGAGTTAAATTTAAGTTTAATATCGAGTTTGATAAAAAAAAAAAAGTTTATGTTTGAGTTTTTATAATTACTTGTGAATTACTCACAAATACTTGATTTATAATAAAAAAATTATACTATATATTTATTTATTAAATTTAAATAGATAATAAATTAGAAACTTAACAAGATTGAAAATAAAATTTAAATAAATTAAATATTATGAGTTATAGATATTAAAAATAATGTTTAAATATTTTGATAGACTTAATATGTTTAAACATTTGGTATTATAATATTTTTTAAAAACATAAAAAAATTTGTGATTAAATAATTAGTTATTAAGATATTTTGAAATTATTAAAAAGAAACCTCAAATTCAAATTGAAATGCTCATTGGCTTGAACTCGTAAGTAAACTCAAATTAGCTTGAGTATTAGTGAAATTAAACACAAACTCAACTATTTTGAGTTTCACAAATATCTGAGCTTGACTCAAGCTCAAATTTTGAAAGCAAACTTGAATACAAATACTTAAATCAATGACTCGACTTGATTCAACTTGTATATAAATACTCAAATATGTGATTTATAATAAAAAATTATATTATGTATTTATTTATTAAATTTAAATATATAATAAATTAAAATTTTAACAAGATTGAAAATATAATTTAAAAAAATTAAATATTATGAGTTATAAATAGTAAAAATAATGTTTAAATACTTTGATAGACTTAATATGTTTAAACTTTTGATATTATAATATTTTTTTAAAACATAAAAAAATTTGTGATTAAATAATTAGTTATTAAAATATTTTTTAATTACAAAAAAAAAAACTCAAATTCAAATTAAAATACTTGTTGGCTTGAACTCGTAAATAAATTCAAATTTGCTTAAATACTAGTGATATTGAGTTCAAACTCAATTATTTTGAGTTTGACAAATATTTGAACTCGATTTAAACTTGAATTTTTAAAGTGAGCTCAAATATAAATATTTAAATACTTAACTTGACTTAACTCAACTTGATTTAATTCATTAAAAATTTTAGAGTTAAGTAATTAATTATTTTAAAAAAATGAAATTT